ACATTCGACTGTGATTGGTCAATTTCTTACTCTTACTTCTTACTCCGTGTATTGTAGACGGGCCTTTAGAAACAAGGTACAATGGGCAGGTAGAAATGGTAGGGACTCCGTAGGCAACGTAGGGGTTATCCGTATCCAGGAAAGTATCTGTTATTACGGAAAGGAATAATATTGAATAGTATCGTGTAAATGCGAGCGACAACGAACATGGATTTAAGTTGCCGAAATTCTAGTATAAGTGCTGATTATTTGCTCGGTCAATTGAATACAGCTAGACAAGAGATTAATAATTTGAGGTACTGTCATAAAAATTCTCTTCATTTTGATGTAGCGTATAACATCATTTTTTCTTAACCTTTTTTTGAAATATAGTATTTATAGTCGCATATCTTGCATTTAATATAAAATATTTTAATATGAAATGCTAATTATGAAACCATTGAATAAAAAGATAATATAATTACGATGCTACAAACTCCAATTTACTAAGAAAACTTTTTAAAAAATAGTTTGATTTAATGTTGCAGACAACAAGTAAAAAGTCTGAGGTATATACTTGATAAAGATGTTGATAATATCAAACGTTTGTTGGAATTACAAAAACGTGGAGGAACCCTACCACAATCTAAACTAATATCTTCGGAAGAAGCAAAGCCTGGCACAAGTAAAGATCAAGATGTTCTTAAATTAAAACCCATTGGTATCATTTCTACCTGGTTTCCCAATAAAAGAGCAACTCCTAGACAACCTGGTATATGTGGAAAAGTACCAGGAAAGTTGACACTTTACAATTCTATATTTACCAATCCAGATCATGCCTTACAGGGCTTGCAGGATTTTTCCCATATGTGGTAAAATAACCATAATTCTTTAAAACAATATATATATATATATATAATTTTAATGTTTTTAATAAAATCTTAAATAATATTCTTTGCTTTGTCTTTCCAATAGGATTTTATTTCACTTTCATAGAAATGATTCGACACACACTCGTGCAAAAGTAGCACCACCGAGATTGAATGGAATAAGAACAGGTGTTTTTTCTACACGTTCTCCACATCGACCATGTCCTATTGGTCTTAGTCTGGTTAAGATATTAAAAATTGAAAATCATACGATTTATTTTGAAGGAGTCGATATGGTTAATCAGACTCCTGTATTGGATATAAAACCATATATACCACAGTACGATAGTCCATTACATATCGAAAAACTAGGCAATAGGCTAAGAGAAAATAACGTCAATGCCTCAGACGTGTTTTACAATATGGAAGAAACTCTCAACTTGAGCGAAGGCCAATCAGTTGACTCTTTTAATAATGATACGGATGTCAACAATGACGAACAGACTGAGCTTGATATTTCCAGAGACGAGGAAATAGCTTTGAGACTCCAAGCAGAAGAATTTCAAGCTTATCCCAATCTTAATGGCTATGATATTGTGAGACAACAATCTTCTCAATTGACAGAAGCTCATGCTAACACTTGGTTACAAAATGACGTTAATGTAGATGTGCATAGAGGAGCATACTTTATTCAAAATAGAGCGTCTAACACAAGATCAGACTTGGATTCATCTGTCGAACATAATGCAACTTTAATAGCCGAATCACAAGTAGACTCTATTAGAGATTTAAATAGTAGAGTACATAGAATAGATATAAATAATTCCAGTAATACAGCAGATTCAACGCGAATGGAAAGAGATAACGATAATGAAATTAATTATACTGAAAATCAGACATTACGTAATTCTAGATTATTGGATGGAGCAGATGGACCAAGCACAGTGTGCGGTACCGATATAGATTTAATCAATCGTCATGTATTACATGCGAGAGTCGATAATTCTCCTGTGAGAATGGGAATACGCGAAGCACCCGATGGAGAAGAGGGACTCGAGTCTCAAACTTTAACACCCTCACGCACTTTACCAGATATTCACGCTGCAACAGCTATATCATCTGCATCAATGAATGCAGCAACGGAGAGTAACTTTTCCGATATAAGAATACCAGATTGGATTTCGCAACCTCGTACAACAGCATTGTCCGTAATTTTCAATGAACGCGCTTTGATGCAACTAAATGAAATTTTAGATGATAAAGTTGACGAGCAAAAACAAGCTATAGAAAATGTACTAAGGGAAGATCCTAGGTCAGTGTATTTAAGGCAAAGATGGGGAGGTAATCAATTCTATACCTTTTTAATACATGATCTGCACATTACATGTAGATTTGACGATAGCAGAGGTATCGTTACTGTATTCCAAGTTCGACATGCGGGTCGCACCTGTGATTGCGGCGAGCCAGAATGGCAATGTTTGGGACATTCTCCTTTATCTTAATATCTTATATTAATCGATTTAAAAAATAAAATATAAACATATTAGGAAAGAGAAAGAAAAATTCCGTCAGTGTATCACAATTTAGCATACAAATTAGCACAATTGTTATTTATTTACTTTTACATTTTAATTATTTTACAAGAGCAGTAGACACTGCTCTTGTAAAATAACTTAATCTTTTGTAACAACTATATATTTAACTGATAGGGCATTTGTTATAAAAAAATGAAGTTTAATAAAATGTCTCATATTTAAGTGTAATTTTAATGCAAGTATAAAAGTTCCTACATTTTGTTATTATGTGCAATTACAATTTATGTAATTATATTTATTACAAAGGAAATTTATACGAAGTAAAAAATACATAAAAAATAGACATGTATTTTATTTTACAGAAAATTGGGAAAAATATGACAAATGAATTTTTTCACAGTGGTAACATGACCTACAAGATATTCTGAACATTCTAACATGCATTTACGTATACATTCGTATAGTAAAGTCGGCACCAGCGGAAAATACCCATGGTTCAATAGGATGAAATATGACATCCAAAATACCGAAATCATTATATGATTCATGGTTACACAATCTTTTCAACGGCACAATTAATGGATTTTGTAAAAGATCACTGGAAAGAAAAGAAATATAAGAATCATATATTATATGTATAAAATTAAATATGCCAATGAGTATACAGAGATATTTTACTTGTACACCATTCCATGAGATACAATTAGTGCCCTATCGTCAGCTCCAGAAGCAAACAGAGGATATCGTTTGTGAAATGCTACAGCGCGTATGCCAGTTCCATGTAATCGCAATGTTTGATAAGGCTCTTTACTGAAATCTAAATCGAACCAAAGCATTTTGCGATCGTATGTCCCTACCAAAACATTATCACCTCCTAAAAAAATTCATAGCACAATGATGGTTATATGGTTGAAACATAATCCATAATAAAACATATAATAGCTTACCTGGGTGAATATCCATTGACGATATCCATTGTGAATTGGACAACAATTTTTTAACCATTATCTGTTGTACAAGATCGTATACTCTTACATTTCTTTGTGTCTGGAAAAGATATAATTTACATAAAATTAAAATATTAATACTATTGTATGTTTTGATTGCTAATACTTACTGCAACAAATAAATATGGTTTAATCGGATGAAATAACACACATTGTATCAATCCTTTTGATTTATTAAAAGGTAATTGAGATCTTCGTTTTGATAGCTGATTAATCAAAACTGATCTATTCTGACCATCTGGCATGACAGTAGCAAAATAATCTCCTTTTCCATGCCATGTTACTTGCTTTACAGTTTTAAAATGATTCAGAATTATCCTAACTCCATTATTCCAATGATCACCTTCCACTTGCTCCCACTGTACTGCACTTTGCACCCTGTCACTCACTAATACATCATGAAGTATATCAGTCATATTTGAAAATTACACACCTTCATAATAGATTATAAATAATTTGGTAATTTTAATTAACAATACCTATTATTTCACTCTGTGGTATTATCTCTAAAAGTTGATCAGTTTTGCTGGTAATGAGATTATCTCCAACTCCAGGATTTATTAAAAGTACTTTTTTGTCAGCTGCAACTGCTATCAATGACATAGCTTGGTTTGGACGCCAGACAACACTTCGAATGACACCACCGCAAGGCACTGTTTTCAAACATCTACCTGTATTCACTTCCCATACTGTTAAAATAACAATTTATATTAAACTATATGTAAAATGAGAGAAATTTACAATTGTACAATACATAAATTAATAATATGTAAATATATACGTGATACACTAAATAACTCACTCTTCAATAACATATCATCCCCACCAGATGCAATAAATTGACCCTCTGGTTCTACAGTAATACTTCTGACCATATCTGTATGTCCTTTAAATACCATAAACATGGTTGTTGGGAATGGTTGTAAGTCCTTTGGACTAGGCAATTGTGGAACCAAGACTTCAGGCTCTATTGTTAATCTCATCTTTAATGATCTAGAACACAGATACAGATCTAAACACCTCTGAAATCTTTCTTTGACATATTTTGGAAATGCAGGTACTTCTCGAAGAGAATTGAATTTCTGTGGTATAAAATGTAATTTCCTCTTCCACGGAGTTGCCTTTAATTTATTCCATTCTTTAAGTTCTTTGTTATCAAATAGATATTCTGGTGGAGGATTATAACTCTCCGCATGGCCAGGTAAATGTCTTTTCGGTGCTGGAATATGCTTATGAATTCTACGCATTTCCTCTGCTTGATCATCAGACTGCCACAACATGTAAAACTGTGGCCCTTTATTTTTTTCTCTTTCTTTCTGCATTTCGGCAGTAGACTTCATCCAACCCATCTTAAGAGCATGTACTAATTTTGATACTTTTCTAGCTTCGTTCTTGGATGGTAAGAAAGAACGTTTATGCTCTGGGAATTTACGAAGTGGCGTTTTCATTACTTCAGAAGTAAACCAATCCACCCATGGCTACAATTCATAACAAATAAAAGTAATTAAAACCATATTTTTACATAGCATACAATAATCCATGATTTAAATTATTATAAATAATATATTATCAATAACTCACCGCATATTCATCAAATTGAACATCAGGAATTTTCTGCTTTTGGATTCTTACAATTAAATCTATATCTGCTTCGCTCATTACAACATCCTGACCAGTTTGAGGATCTTTTATAGTTCTCCAAAAATTAGGATCCTCCATTCTTTTCAAAAAGTTATCTAATTCATCACCCTTTTCAGGTTTAGGTATTTTCTTACCTTCCCAATCATATCCAACATGATCATATTCATTGTACCATTTTAATGGTACATTCCCAATTGTGTTACGAATATCTTCTTCATCAGAACTATCATATACATATTCATCTTCATCATTTGCAGTAGACGTGTTAATTTTTTGTTCATTATGTGCTTCATCTTTATGCATCTGTGCTTTATCAAAATTCTTGTGATTTTTATTATTTCTTAATTTGTTAATTACTGATGTAGTTTCTTTTGTCAATGTCTTGTCTTTAAATGATAAGGGTTTTTTACTTTTACTCTTATTTTTTAATTTGTCATCTTTTAATTTGATTGGGGAATCTTCTTGTACTTCCTCATAACTGCTTTCTGACTCGATGTCTTCTGAACCATCGTTATCTTCATCCGAATCATTACTATCTTCATCCGAATCATCGCTATCTTCATCCGAATCATCGTTATTTTCATCTGAATCAAATATACCTTCGTCTTGTTCTACTTCTTCATCTGAATCAAATATAACTTCGTCTTGTTCTACTTCTTCATCTGAACTAGATATAACTATGTCTTTTTCGACTTCATCATCCGTAGCATCTTCGTCAACATTAATTTGAGCTGCTATCAAATCTTCCATATCAGAATTCTAAGTAATTAGGAAAGATATATTTAATATTTCATTATAATATGTTACTTTAATTATGTTCGTATTATTGAATTAGGTAAAAAACTAAACAAGAGAATATGCAGAGATGTGTGACAAGCAATAAACAATACCTTTGCGTTATGTGAAACATGTACATCCTTTTCAGTTTCATTTTTACTTTCTTTTAATTTTGGATTAACGTATTTCCTCTTCGAGACTTTTTTCTGTCCCATTTTCTTCAAAATTAAATAAAATTTTAACACGACATACAAGGTTAGATACAATCACGTGCCTAAAGCACAGTGAACCACTGAAGATGCGCCATCTATTGGCACATGCGCAATCTATTGGCTATCGTATTGCGTTCAGCAGCAGAGAAAACTAATCAGTTAGCCCGGATCCTCATACGGGCAACAGCGCTTTGACACCGAACGCTGATTGGTGAAAAACGGGTGATGGGAGTAAATTTTACCCCCACAACCGGCTTTTCACCAATCAGAGCTCTGTGTCGAAGCGCTGTTGCCCGTATGAGGATCCGGGCTTATGGCCGCAGCACACACTCTTGCATAAGGGCTCTCGCACATGAAATGCATAACAGATCATAAGCATAACATAAGCCCGCTAAACCAATGAGCATCTTATGTAAATCAATATGGCGACATTATGCTAGATGCTCATTGGTCCAGCAGTCTTATGTTATGCTTATGCTCTGTTATGCTTATGCTCTGTTATGCATTTCATGTGCGATAGCCCTAACGCATAATGCATAGTGCATAAAGGAATCAACCAATCGAAATTCTTCTTTTCCATGGAATGAGAGGAAAGGAAAGCTTCTAATTAGTTGATTCGCTTATGCACTATGCGTTATGCGTTAAGCAAAAGTCTGTGCTGCGGCCATAAAAATCGCCCGAACTGTCAACCATGATTGGTCAATTCTGAACAGCAAATGCTATTGGTAAGTTCTTAGTAAATATAATTTAAGTAAATGTAATAACTGATCGATTAAATTAATTAGAGATCACACAGACCCAAATATAAAAACGAGAATATCAAAATTTAAATTATCAAAAATTTTTTTAATTCAGAGCTAAAAAAAAGAAACAAGTCAAATTTTTTTACGAATTATTTTCTTCTATTACAATATTTATATTTAATAAAAAAAATTTTTTGTTTCATAATAGCAAATTAACACACCTTTTTATTGCATTATTTAATTCTTAATAATTTATTGTTAAGAATTTTTTATTTTTAACAATTATCATTTTATATTTTTAATAATTTATTCGTTTCGTGTATCAGTCATTTATTACATATTCTTTTATTAATGCGAAAAATGGGTTGATAATTCAAGATTTGTCACTCTTATGTGTGCTTAAAACGCGTATACAAAACTTATTTGGCTATACTAGTTTATTGATTACAATATTTTTGTATCACTCGCAATGTCTTAATTCAATCCGTGCTATCGATGTATTGCGCAGAAGCTTGAATATCAATTGATTGTGCAAGAAAGTTGCAGAATATCATTAGATATTTGTTTCATGCACTGTACATAAATCTTGTTTATAAAAGATTCGGTGTTTATATACACACACGCACACACACTTATACACGAGCGCACCCGCACGTCTATATAACAGGATATTCATACAACAGATAGTTTTACAAAGTATTGTAACAATATGAACGTATATTCAGAAAAGAGAATAAAGTTGCTTAATGTTGCACTGTCGTGTACAAAACGATTCTTCAACACTGAAATTATGTGAAATTTTGACACATTTCTTGCATTCTCTTATTTTTCTTATTTTGTTAAAAAGGGGCATTATATTTATCTATATATAAATATGTTGCAGAGTGGAACTAATTTCATATGTCTAGCTATCCTACATCTTTTATAAGTTTTAATCAATAGCGGGCTTAGTTCGTCTACGATGATGATTTCGTGCTAATGCATGAACAATTGTCACCAAGAAATAACAAATCATTAACGCTACAAATTTGTCAAACAACCATGATATTGTAGTCGCTCCTTCCTACAAAAAAAAAAGGTTTATTTTAAATTAGGTACATATTGTGCACATTGTGCATTTATATCTTGTAAAACTAATAACTTACCATAGATGATTTATCATGTAGCTTTTGTTTCTGTGCAATGAAATATTTTTTTAATGGTTCTTGGAATTTTGTACCAACAAATGGTACGATTGCTAATAAGCTAATAAATTTATCTAAGAGTTCTTCATTGAAGGCTATGATCACTGCTAATTGCTGTATGTGCATTTTAATAACAGCCTTTCCTATAAGGGTTGCGCCAAAGAATGTCCAAAATGGAATGAGATAATGTCCACATGTCAAACCAGCCAGGTCAAACAATGGATTTGGAATCTGCAAAATTTTATTATAATATATTCAACATGAAAAAGATAAATGATATTAAATAACTGCTTAAAAAATCTTTTATATATATAAAAAAACAAAATTTACTTATGTACATACCGATGCACAAGCTAATATGCCCAAAAATCCAGCTTTTTCAACAAATCGCTTCATATTTAATTTGATACGCATTATAAACGATACGTTCTCTCCATTTTCTAACGCTTCCAAAGCCTCCAATTCTTTTAGATCTTCTTGATCGAAATTTTCATTCTTATTATTCTTTCCACTCATTCTTGCAGCTCTGGCCATAAAATATGGCGGTAACTCGCCAAGTGCAGTACCAGCTCCCCACAACATGGCCTCTACACGTACTTTTTTCATGATATTTAATATACCTACTGTCCACATTGGATCAATCTTTGTCGGGCATATAATTTGATCAGGATATGGTGGTTCAGGAAAGTTCAGAGCACCGCATTCATATGCTGCCATAGTAACAGCTGCTATGTGTGGTCCTAAGTATAATACAAAGGTATGCAAACCTGTCCCGAGACCTACACTTGATAATACACCTAATCCTACCCAATATAACCACCATATAATTTTGGCTTCCCACAATTTAAAAATCTGAAAATAAAACGAATCCATTACTTTAGATTAATCTAAATAATCAAATAACGAATAAAAAATTAATTTTTAATTAACGTAATTGTACATATTATCAATCTTTTCTTAAAAGTTAATTTTCAAAAGTCTTCTACTTTTAATTCACTTACGATTTAAAAATAATCAAATTATTCTGACTCAAGATTTTTTAGAAAATAAATTGTTAAAGGAGAAAGCTACGAATCAAAGCTAGTTGTTAATTGCTAATACTTAGGTCCAGTTCCACAACTCACAGTTAACTCTTAACCGAAGTTCAACTTGTTTCTCATCCAATTCTAGAATCGGAAAGAGACAATAAATAAATTGAACCTCGGTTAAGAGTTAACTATGAATTGTGGAACTGAGCCTTAATCTATATTCCAAATCCTATCGCTATAAACATTTAACATACAAACATTTCCACCTTCATTAGATCATCTTCAGTGTAACTCATAAAAATTACAACTGAAAAATAAAAATAAAAAGGTTGCAATACCGGTTATATAATAATTCCATGATTAAATATAAAAATTGAATAAAAATGTTTAAATATAAAAATGGACTAAAAAGTATCGCATGATTAAATATTTAAAATTGTTTGAATATAAAAAAAATAGAATAAGACTTGTCGCATTATTAAAACGTTTTATGATACGCACGATCATGCGACAATTTTTACTCAATTTTTATATTTAATCGTGGAACTATTATATAACCGATATTGCGACCTTTTTATTTTTATTTTTCAATTGTAAATTTATGAGTTACACTGTACAACTAGCTTTAACTCGTAATATTTCTTCTTCAACAATTTATGATTTAAAGTTTTGGACATTTTTAAAAGTCGACTAATTAAATGAAAAATAATCAGGAAAATATTAAACAGAAATATAGGCAAAAATAAGAATTCTGTTAACATATATCTAGAATTATAAGTAATGTAATATACCTCTTGTTGGGGACCAGAAATTCTGCTTGATAGAAGAAATAATATTATAATTGAAATCATAGCGCATACAGTCCGTTTGTAGAGTAACGTTTTCTTCATTAAACTAAGCACATTAATAATTGCTTCACTAAAGAAATAATGTAAAGTTGTAATTGGATGTTGCCAGAGTGTTAAATGATCTGAATCCAAATTTGAAACACTATGTGGATGGCTTGAATTGTGTTCCATCGCTGGAGTGGATATTCTTTTTCCAGTACTTCTTTGAGCTCCATTAGTGGAAGCTTGATCTTTTGGACGTTGAATGGCAGTAGAATTACCCAGCATGGTATTTTCTAAATGGTTAATCTGTGAACAAAGAATGTAATGTATTATTAACAAAGAATGTAATGCGGGCGCATGCACGCGCATATTAATAACAACCTATTTAATGATAGCTTATGTATCTTTCAAATATTAGTACTTTTTTACGTAATTAAAAAAATATGCATCTCATAAATTCTTTCTTACAACATAAATAAATATTTATTATCTAACAAGTTCCTATATAATCACATAAATGAAATAATATAATAGAAAATAAAGTTCTTTTATTCTTTATGATAGAAAATATTTTATAATTTACTCCAGTTATGTTAGTATCAGTTTCAACATTTATAATTGTATATGTAGAATTGTATTGTTTAAATTCACAAATCTTGTCCATTATATAACTTTAAGGGGTTATTCAGCGCAAGCACAACATGAATTCTATTATTGTAATAAATGTAGAGAGTATCATGTATAATAAAAAGAATTATAAGAGGATTTGACACTATCAGTAAAAAATATAGCACATGAGTTACTATAGGTCAAAGGTCAAATAGTTATCCAATATAAACATAAATTGTTTTCTAGAACCTTACTGTTCCTCTTGTTATAAGAAAATTTATCTTGTTACTAATAAATGTTTTAGTTAATAACTGTCTCAAGAAGTTTATTCTACAATTAAAAGAAGAGAAACTTAGAAATAATAAAATCTTATAATATCATGCAATCGCTGTCTTACATTCTATATGACAAATTGTAACGTCATTTAAATACTTACTACATATTCCTTAGTTAATACTTACTCTGCAAGATAAAAATTGTGAATGTCAACTTTCATTAATTATTAACACAAAAAACAGAAATTAGAGAATCTAAACTAGAATGCAAATAATTCTCCTAAATATCATATCTGTAAGGTTATGTATTCTTATTGTAAATCCAATACATACAAATGAAGTTTATTTTAAATTAGGAGAAGTTAAAGCATTAAAATAAAAAAAAGCTTAAATTCTTCTTTATTATTCTTACAATATGCAAGTATATGTCGTTGAATGTTTAATACAAATAGATAAACAATGATATTGAGCTGTCAACAAATTTTAAATTTTATAATAATAAACAATTAATTGGCCAATCGTTCATTGCTTTGTTATATATTTTATATTAGTCAATATCACATTATATACTTCACATTTGCAATTATCACATTTAATTATACCTAACCATATTGCTTATCCTTTAAAGACTCTAATTATCTTGACGCCCCGAAAATTGTAGGTTCATGATAGAAGCTCGCTAAACTATGTAATGTTTCCGATTGAATTTCTTGATTACAACATATTGTAATCGAGAAAGAACAATATCTCATAAATTTCATACGAGAACATATTAAATATATTTTACAATTCCAATCCTCGAAATTTTAATTATCTTTCATGATCGATTTCCTTTAATATCATTATATAAAGTATAAAGCAATAAAATTATCTCGCGTAAATGAATTACCTTTTCAATTTTAAGGTCTTATTTACGATATATGTACATTCAGGAGATCACAGTACGATGACTTTTTTTCCTATATCATCGTGGGGAGTGAAAGGGAGTATTAAACAATTTTAATACAAGTCTTGTGAGGTTTCCCAATCTTTGCACCGTTTATCACGATTAATTACTGTCAAATCACTTATGACGTGACCACTCACACATATGTACTTACGTATTCATGCGTGGTGTATGTACATATGTATATACAATATCTCTGAGACATATATACGTTACACATATAATAAATATGTCAGAGACGTATCACCAGTATCACCACGCGACGTAAATATCACATGAGCGCAATGAAGCGTAAACGGGCAACTCGGTGAAGGGGGAGAGGGGGATTTCTCCTTCACTTCTCCACCTTCAATATAAATATCCATCCTTTTTCATTGTTTTCCCTCCTTGCTCTTCCTTTCTCCCTTTTTATTCAATTTCTTTTATGTCAAAGATACGTAAAAAGTTCCTTCGATCATCCTGTTACAGACTTATTACAGTTCTACATATGGCATTAGTCTGAAAATTATCGTGTTTAATCTTGCAATTCTTCGAATAAAATCTCGAGATTTTCGAGGTCTTTTCGAAATATTATTGGAGGTCTTTATGTTCTCACGTGGTTCGTAGAACCGCAAATGAGATCTATGAGTAAGAAAACATCTCTATTTGACCACGTAGCGATTGATCACACCATTCAAGCGAATGAGACTTAAAATTTTTCTACTGGATCAACCAATCAGGAAATTAAATTACGAATTGGCCAATTGGCGCTGTGGACAATAGAATATCACATGTGAGATGGTAAATTATTCGAAAGCTGGGCTGATATCTAAAAATAAACATCGATTACTAAAGTCCCTAGAAAATACATTTTTCCATTGGAAAATGTAAATTTTTTTTACAAAGAAATACTTAGGGCCGATTTCACTAAGCTTAATTGGGGGTGATCCCGATTTACCACGGCTCGATTGGACACCACCAATCACAGCGACCGGTGCTTAGGAGCTTTGTAGTCTCAAGTGCTGTGAGTGGCTCGTGTCCAATTGAGCCGTGTCCAACTGGGTGCCACCTGCTTAATTGTGATTAATTGTCAACCGCAATTGGTTGAACGCTGCACGATGCTGCACCTCTGTATACTCTAACGCGCAATAGAATTAACAACTTACAGAAATAAATTTATGGATCCTAGGGATTTTCTAGAAATGCCAACATTCGTCCGCCATTTTTTATGGATTTTGTCCGGTAACCGGCTGTTTTAGCGACAAAAAGGATCACGTGATCAATATGGACGTTTGATATTCGTCAATTTTGACCATGTGATTCTTTTTGTCGCTGAAACAGCTAGTTTGAGCAGCTCGTGAAAATTTACCTTTATGCTTTTTACGCTATTTTGTTGTTATGCTGAAATATGATAGAACCACCATGCGTCGAATCTAATTTCTGTCTCATTTTAGCTTATTCTGTCTGAAAAAATGCACAAGGGTTTCGATTTTGCAACAGTATAATTATAGAAGTCGTGCGCCCCTTTGCATCGCGTGAAAAGTCGAAACCCATGTGGAACAGTACAATTATAGACCTCATTTTGTCTCTGTAACAGATTTCCTAACCTCAATAGTCATCAACTTTAACGCTTAATATCTCAGATCACAAGGCAGAACGTTTTTTTTTTTTGCCAGATTCTTTCGTTTCATGCAAAAATGCGTCGAATAAGCCTAAGAGTGGTCTCACAAAATTTTCCGATTTTAATCCTTACCATACAATTTGGTGCCTCATCCATACCATCAAGGGTCACTTCAAATCTCTTCGTTTTTTCACTTCTTCAAAATAATTTAAAAAATCTCTAAAAATTCACCAACATTTCAACTTTCTAGAATAAATATTGACTCTTTATTTTAAAAAATAATAAAATGTAGTATAATTTATAATTACCGAAAGACTCAAAGAAACTTGCACGAACAAGAATCGCTCGGTCACTAGTTACTCATATGAGTACGGTAAGGATTAATAATATATTCGATCATCCGCTCATATATACGCAATGGAAAGGTGCCGGTTCTCCATGAGGCGTACTTTTCGAGTTGCGTAGGTTACGAAAACCAATCATAAATTCGTTTAGCATTTCTTTAGAATGTACAACAGAAATTCTAATCAGCAATTGGTTGCATTAGTTACGCATTTCTCTAATCTTCCGCGAAATACGCCCAATGTAAATGCTTTCAGAATGGCGTATTCTAGTAAATAAAAAATAACGTATTCTAGTAAATTACTAGAATACGCAGGTTACGCTTACGCAGGTTACGCCGCATGTGAC